GATCTAATTCTAATGTGTTTTCAACACTTTTTTGACCTCTAATGAGAGAAGGGGCTTTGCATTTGGAGTAATGGTTTCCACCCATAAGACCAAACTAAATCTTTTATTTATTTATTTTTTGTTATGATTGGAAGTTAGGGTAAGCTATGGCAAATCCCAAAATCTTAAAGTGGTAGGAAGGAATCAAGGATTTAGAAATTTTAGATAGGAGCATTACTATTCTTTTTTCATTTTTATGAACAAATAAATAAAAATAAACCTATCAAAGTACAAAAAAGTCTTTTTGGGAGAGAATAACATACATTGGAATTACTAATGACAAGTCTTTTTCATCTTCCCCATTTATTTTTAGTGTTATTTTCAAATGAGATAGATAACCTAAACTCCCAAAATTGTTGCCTCAATTAAAACCCAAATTAAATATGGCATAAGTTTATAAATCTATTTCTTTTCCATATATATATATTATTCATCATATAAAACAAGGAATTTTTGTCTGCCAAAGAACCCTAACTTTTCCTTTTGGTCTAATGGCTACTAAGAGTTAAGACTAAAGACTCTACAATTTGAAAGGCATTGTACAAACTTAGTATAGAAAATATCTTTACAAATAAAAAAGAGATATCTTTAACAAGTTAATATACAATACAATTTTAAAAAAAATTTGGCTTACACACTATTCTCCATCAATTTTACATATATTATTAGTAAAAAGATTATCTATATGTTTTTTACCATTATAACTTTCTTTTAACTTTTTATCATTTATACTTTTCAAAATTTTCGAAACAAATATAATAAACAACGAAAAACAATGATATTTTTAGAAAATATTTTCTAGAACATTAAGAAATTTTGTCTATTGAATTTTTCCATTTTTTCTAAAAGTGAAAAATCATATTTTAGTTTTTTTTTTGTTTTTCAAAATTATATATTTATTTATATTACAATATTCTTTATTTAAAATAATACTATAAAAAAGAAAAAAAAAAGGGCAATGAAATCTATGGTAGGTTTATCATGGGCTACTTTTATTGGGTCTGTCTTGAACTTAAACCCAGAAATCCTTATTTCTTAGGCCGATGATCCCTAACCAACACTAACCCTAGATGGTTTGAGCCAAATTTTATGATTTGGTCTCCTCTCGTAGCCCCATAGATTCATAATTTGGACTCTCTCGAAACCCAAATTGAAACACTGCAATCTTTGTCTGATCCTCCTCTCCATGCTTCAATTGATAAGGTACAATTTTCATCAATTTAAAAATACATTCAAGCTTGTTTAATAGTACATGTGTTGATGAGACGTTTCTTTGGATAACTTTTGGATCTAGAAAGTTTGTAGCTTTATTGTGTTCTGTACTTGTTGAATTATGAAGAATGAGGTTCATTTGGATTCTGGGTTGATCTATCAGTTGCCTCGTTTACTACTTTTATGAGTTAATTGGGCTTTGGAGGGGAAATTCTTTACCTACTTTGTTAATTTGTGCATGTGAATATCTTTTTTCATGCATTTTATGTTATCTACCAGTGAAAGCTGGTAGTGTTGTATCTATTTTCGGTTAGCTGATGACTAGATTATGTTAACTGATGGCAGGATATGAGTGCTGGGGTGGTTGATAGCAATCCTTATAGTAGGCACTAGGCTCATGGCACTTCAAAGAATGGGTATTGCGGATAACTATGAAAGAATCCGAGAGTTCTCAGTTGCCAAATGTCTTCAGCTGCTTTCTATATCTCTTTTCAATAAAGCTTTGCCTGGCACATACTATTAGTGCCATCATTTTGCTGTAGATTGATCATTTCTTGTTGTCCTGATTCAGTTCTCGGTATTGGTGGAGTTGGAAGTGTTGCAGCTGAGATGCTAACAAGGTGTGGCATAGGTAGCTTTTGTTGTACGATTATGATAAAGTGGAGTGAGCATTCTAGCAAATGATGGAGCCATGCATAAAATTTATACTTTTTAGGGTTAACTAAGAAATTTCATGCGATCACAATCCATACTTGAGTTAATATTGTATGAGGCTTGCCCCTAAAATTCTATGCTCAGTGGATAATCTTTTCTTTTCCCATGCTAACTAAGAAATTTCATACAATAACACGGACTCTAGAGTCGTGAGCCTAAAACTGATACTTTCACAACAGTGAATATCTCAAAGTCAGACAAGAAATTCTCTCGTTTGTCAATGAAAACTGACACAAGAATGCAAGTGTAAGGCTGTTTGAACTTTTCAGTAAATTTTGGTCCATCTGTGGTTGATGATTTCTAACTTGCAAAGAAAATACAGATTCATGTCAGAAACTAAGTCAAATACAAACAAAGTACCCAGGTCGACATTGATGGAAATAGCACAAAAAACTTTTAAGTTGATAAGGAGTAAGGACAGATGAAAGGCACCATCTTATGCAAAACTGAATAGCTAGAGCATGCATGTGAGGACATTTTAATGGAGAAAAACCACATGGTACTCTGATCACGAGACTTCCATAGTTCATGGTAGCTTTACTGAGTAAAACTAATACCCTATGTATCATAGTTCAACGTACCTGCCATTGACAGCAGCTTGTGTGATAATACCCTATCCATGGAGCAGCAAACCAAAATGTGATAATATTCCAAACTAAACTCTTTTGTAAAAAGGGTGACAAACTCAAAAGAAAGAAATAATTAGTATTAAATTCATATTGTCAACTTTATCAATGGTTTGCTCCTCCTTTGTTCAACATATAAATTATAACTATATCTTGATTCCTTGAATGTTCCATCTCTCAAAAACAAGAATATAAAATTTGTACCTTTTTGCTAAAAGTTTGTATAACATCAATGCATGCAACTTGTTCACAAAAGATTAAATATAAAAGCTTGCACATGGGTTGAATCTTTAAATTGTCCTCACTTCAAGTATTGGCTCAAAAGATTGATTCCACTTGCTAAGCTTTGTACAAATGTATCGCCATGCTATTAATTATTTTGATTTAAATTTTTTTTATTTTAAGAAGTAAAATAAAATAATTCGATTGAAATGTAATGATCATACGTGTGTAATGCATTGTGTATATGTCTTATAATAAGTCCCATTCTTTTATCTTTTTTGGGGAATCGATGACTATTTATAATTATTGCTTTGACATTAAACAAGAGTTCGACCCAATACTTTATTTTTATCTTACTTCATAGTTGGTAAGGTTTTCCTTTTTTTTTTTTACGCATATATTGCAATATAAAATAAAAAAAAGAATTACAAGTGTTATGGAATAGGAATCCAAGCCCAAAGAATTCAAACTGGAAAACAAATTTCTTGGTTTATAAAAATTTGACATTTATTTTTATAATTATTTTGAAAGAAATGAAGCCAAATACATATATCCAAACACAGCCTTAATAGCAACGGGTAACAAACTCTTACCAATCAAAGAGCAGATGAGATGATAGGTTTGTTCCTGGTCCAGGCCACATGACGAAGAGTGGAGAGAGGGCTAAGGGGAAAAGGACCCACCAGATGAACGGTCCAAGTGCTAGAGTCAGTATTCACAATCATGATCAGGCTCACCACTGTGTCCATCCACGTGCCAAGCTCAGCAGCTCATGGGTGGGCTGCTGAGTTTGAAAGTTGAGACCCGTTGGTACGAAGGGCCAACATCCCGAGGGCCTACCATAAAAGCAATATCCAAATATCACCCTTTAATCCTTTATTGGCATTTACTTAAAAAATTATTTTTAATTCGAAGTTTAATTTAATAAATTCATATAATTATTTAAAAAATAAATTTTATAATTTTTTTTTAATTTTTAGACTATTTTTTGCCCCTCCATCCTCATCTCTGCAAAAAGAAAAAAAATTGAAAAGCTTAATAAAATTATTAAAAATTGGTAGTAAAATATTAAGATAATATACTAAAAAGATCAAAAGAAGAAGAAAAAAAAGCCATAAAACGGATATTCATAACCCAATAACGTGATCCGTTATTTCCCATGCTTTGGCTCCTCTCACGTAAGGAACTCTTGCCTGTTTATTTCCTTCTGTTAACTATGATTTTACCATAATGTACTTCATTCTCCGTTATATTTACTTCAAAAAATGTATGCGAATGTGTTTTAAAATTGAATCCAAATGAATTTGAATAAATTTTTTGTAATATAGTTATTGATATCTTTACTTTTATTGATTTAATTTTTTCTCGAATAATTTTGAGAATATATTTTTTATATTAATCATATGTATTTAATATTTTATTCTTGAAATATTTTTCATAAATATTAATATTAAGTGACAAAATTTATTCTCAAGATACTTTTCACAAAAATAAAATTACATCTTAATCTTAAATCAAGATATTATGAGGGTTTATTATAATATAAAATTAAATATTTAAATTCATACTTGTGATACACTTTTGATAGATTAAAATAGTAAGACTTTTCATATTAAAATAAATAATATTTTATAAATTAAGTATAAATTTTTATAAATAATATCATAACGATCATCATTTGATATATATGCATATATGTATATATACATGCATATACATATATGTGTGCATATATATATTTGCATTTATATGTATACATGTATTTGACTTAGCCCTTTCTATGTAGAAATCTTGGCTCCATCATTGCCTATGTTTAATGTGTATGGTGTTCTAATTCTTTCATAAATTTAATGAGAACGTCAAATTTTAATTTTATATGATATTTCAATCTCATATTATATCAAGATATTTAAAAATTTGTTATAATATATAAAAAAATTTATATTTATATTTAAAAATATTTTTTATAAAATAAAATCTTTAAATTTTTATATTAAAATAAATAATATCTCGCACATTCTTCGTGAATAGTCGCTTTCTTACCGTAATTGGACGCAAGTCAAAGGGTGAATTGGTCATTCTAAGCATTAAAGTTGGTTTAACTGTTTAAGTCATTTTGCAGGGTAAAGTTGGGTAATAAGGTAACTAGGGGAGGTGGTGGGTTGTTGATTTAAGGGAGCAGTTTCTTTCACCCCACTATCTCCCTCCCTTTGGGTTTCTTCTCTGCTTAAACCCCTTTTATCTATATGGAAGAGGAAGATCAAAAAGAACTGCAGCTGCTCCCCATTCCTCTCGCCATAGCTTCATCATCCCACATGTCATCTAGGGCTTCTGATTCTTCTTCACTAATGTATCGATCGACAACGGCGGCCAACACTGATCAATACGAAGGGCCTTCACTTGACTTGCAACTATCAATCAGTCTAAGACCAATCGAGCGACCATCAAATTGTGTTCTGGAAGGCTCCATTTGTGACTTTGGTGATGGTAAGGCCGAAACAAGCTGCGTCGAGTCTTTGAAATGGCAGGCGGCGGAGCAAATTCGGTTGGCAGCTATTGAAAAGGCTTATGCAGAGAGAGTGAGGGAGTTTACAAAGAGGGAAATGGAGATGGCACAGTCTGAATTTGCAAGAGCTAGGCATATGTGGCAAAGAGCAAGGGAGGAAGTGGCAAAAGCTGAGAGAATGAAGGAGAGAGCGACAAGGCAGATAGATTCTACGTGCATGGAGATTACTTGCCAGTCTTGCAGGCAAAGGTTCAGGCCTTAATTTTTTTTATATATCAAACCCTGCTTGTTTAATTAAAGATATAGCCGAGTTTTTTTTTTTTTTCCATTGCCAAGTTGTTGTTTGAGGGGTTTGAAAATTTGTGCATTGGATGCAACTAAGAGCACAATAAAAGCAGAATGAGAACTGTGCGATGTGTATTGATGAAAAATTGAAATGAGGATGATGGATATATTTTTCCATGGAATTTGAATTCCAAAATTCATCTTTCAATTATATTTTTGTTGATGCTTTAAGCAATGTTGATGATATTGTCAAGCTTGGCCTTCATGAATGAGCAATTTGATCAACAATATCATCGATCAAACAGCAAACTGAGATATGCTCGAGGTTCAAATTTTACCAGGACAACAAAGAGGATCATAACAATGGCATGTATGTTTTGGTGAAAACCTGACAGGAGTTATGACCCGAGAACTCGTCTACTGACGAGATTTGAGCCTCGTCCACCCATAGTTTTCCTCTTGCATTCTAATTATGAGATCATACATATCTCATGATCTTAAGATCAAGAAGTTCCCAGATGAATTTATCTTTACCCTACTGTCATGATGCACAGCTAGAATCAATCAATTCAGTGCATTATTGTCCTGATTTTTGTTTGTTTGGTGATACATTATTGCCCTAATTACTAACACACTTTTTTAGCAGAAGTTCACACAAATGTCAGATATATGGATACGCATTTTAGCTTTTGAGAATGCAGAAGTATACTGCTGAGGAGCAGATAGGCAAGCATACCTTGTCTGCTGATATACATTTGTAAGATTGAATCATGTGTTTCTATTCCCACTAAAATCCTAAACCACAACATATAATATATATATATATATATATATATATTTATATGTATCAAACTTCTGACTTCTTAGCTAATACATTATTTTAGTAAGTTCAACAAAGATTAAGGTTAGTTACTATAAGTTTGCAGCCTGCCACATAAATTGTGCTAACCCACACAAAACTAGCCAATAGGTTCATGCAATTTCAAATATGGTCTTCGGTCTTCAACAATCGGATTATGTTGTCATGATTATCATCGGCAAGAAGCACACAGATCAAGTAAATTAGATAGTGAATTGGTCTCAACTTAATGACTGATATCTTGGGTGTTAAGGCAAGCACATAAGCTTGTTATTGCAATACAGTTGAAACTCAGGACTTAAAAATTTCCATTAATGAGTCAAACCTGCCACCTCCATGGTCAAGTTCAGAACCTTGAATTTGATAGAAAGACAAATGAATCAGAACAAAAAGTAAGTAATTCATCAGCAACAAGACAGAATAGCTATATCCACTTGGATTCAACTTCTTATCTTTTGCTTATCAGAAACCAAACACCACTACCCATGTCCGGGATCCAACATAAAAGACACATTTTTCGATAGGATGACTATGCTGAAGCATCAGTCAGAGGAGTTAATAGTGAAGCTTTCAAGATGTTGTGACAATGGAATTAGCTTGATTAATTTGTCAGCAACCTCCAAACATTACTCATACACAAATTATCTGATAAAAGCAGTAGCTTCAATAATTAATACACTGATTTGATTCTTTGATGATCAGGTCAAGACTCAAGAGTCTAGACATAATCTAGTAGGGGCAAAGGATCATGAAAGTTTGAATCTAGAGATAAATCAGTTTAATTGGTTCATAAAATCACCGTTAAGAAGTGGCATATTTAGCAGGTTTAGGTTTGAATCTCAGCAATCCTTTTTCACATTCTCAAGTTATGACTTCTTTTGTAAGAAAAAAAAAATCATGAAGTTCCAAAATTATGCCCTCATGAAAAGTACATTTTTTTCAAATAGATAGAAAGTGATAGATGAAGAAAGAAAGTGATAGGTAAAGAAAGAAGGAACCTATGGTTAATTATTAGTTTGATTCTTTATTAGGTTCAAGGAATCTTCTAGGAGACTAACCTAATTGAGGATGTAAAGCAGATATGTTTTAATCAATTGGGGTGTTCTTGCTTCCAAAAGCAAATATGATCAGAAATGCAACTTCAAAACTAACTATTTGGTTGTTTAAAGCTTGAAGTTTGAACAAAAATCATACTGTTCCTCTTGGATTCCTTTCTTTGGAACCAGTAAAAAGCATTCTTCTGCAACTAAGAAACAAGAACTTTCAAGAATCCATTGGAACCAAGGGAGACAAAGGAACTATTACTGCTATTTAAAAACAGCTGCAACTTCAGACATGATGAGGGAGAAAGAGGAAAAGGAAATGAGATAAATGGTGCATTAGCTACTTTGTTGGATTCCAGAGATGGAATTCACCGCTTTTGGATTCAATGGTTGTGTCCTAATTTGAGTTTGCATAATCACCTAACAGTAATATTGATGGAAGACCATGCGCTGACATATGACCACTTGCATTATAGGTTCCTTGTCTTGTATTGCTTATATGGTTACAATCATCGAATTGCAACTGCCATCACTTATTGCATAAAGTTGAATTGCATGATAAAGATGTAGGACATGGTAGCCAAACAGTCAAACTAGTCATTATGACAAAACCTTAACATTTGTCTTTTCACATTTGTCCACATATTACGATGAAGTGATACTGTTTTGTTTATTGAAGTTTGATGTACATATACATGCTTAATCATAATTAATTGCTCCAACCTTTGTCGTCAAAAAAAAAAAAATGATGAAAATTTTATTGTAATGACTCGTGTTTCATAATGAAACTTAAAGTTTATTTATAAAAGGATAAAATATTATAAAATAAGAACTATAATAAATAAAAATAATGATTAAATTAATTCTTATAATAAACTAAACTAATATATGATATTTTTTAAATCAATATTAAATCAATAACTAATATTTTTTAAATTAATATCGAATCAATTTAGAATATTACTAAAATAATATCATCAATCTAAAATATTATCAAAATATTATTAAAATATCATTGACACCCCCGCAAACTCAAGATGGTAATGTAGAGATCAAATTCAGTTTGAAAATTTGAACAAAAAATTAATCAGATAGATGTGATTTGTTGAAGATATCTACTTTTTAATCAGCACTGGTAACAAGAATAAGTCGAAGAGTTAGCAAGGGTAGTAAAGCTGGACTGTATGACAAAAAAATCTCAAACATCTTTAGCAAGTTCAAATCGCTCAAAATATACATTGATAAAAGAAACAATGATATTAGCAAACAGGGTAAGAATTCGATGATTCTTACTTTTTCATTCATCTAGCCAATCTATAAATTTATCAATGGATTCTTCTTTTTTACTATCTGGTGCTTTACGTTCTTTAGTAACAACAAGTGATAATTTTATTTTTTAAAATAATTACGCATAGTTGTAGTTCATCGATTGTAATTATTTCTATCAATGATAATTGAAATTGATTGTATATTTTCTCGTTGTATACTTACGATTAAGCTCTTGAAAAAAAATGTAATGGAGATATGGAAAGTTATGAGTATTGATATAAAAGATGAATTTTGAAGATGGAAAGAGAAACCCAACAAAAATTGAAGCGCGGAAGCAAAAATGAAATTAGAAATGAAAATCAATTAAGAATGAGAGTAGGCAAATATTGATTATTCTAAGGGAATTTACTTTCGAAATGAACCATAAAATCATTTTGATGCCATGAAACAGAAAAAAAAAATGATGTAAATTTTATTGTAATGACTTATGTTTTATAATGAGGCTTAAAATCTATTTATAAAGAGATAAAATATTACAAAATATGAAATATAATAAATAAAATTAATGACGAAATCAATTCTTATAATAAGCTAAATCAATATCTAATATTCTCTAAATCAATATCAAATTAATTTAAAATAATACTAAAATAATATAATCAATCTATATTACCAGAATATTATTAAAATATCATGTTATATATTAAGATGAATTATAAAGAAGAATCATCCTTTTCTCCTTACATCAAAGGTTCTAAAACAGAAGTGACTCTTAGTTATTTTATCTAAGTGCCCATTGATAAAAGCTATATTACTTGAACTTGGGTGAGTGTCGGATACACAAGTCAATATCATCTTTTTTCATGTATTTGGAAGAGTCAAATCTTTATATTTATATTCTTCGGATATGTGTCAAATATAAGTACTTCAAAAAAAAAAAATCATCATAATAATATAGATGAAAAACATAGCACCATGAAAGCATATATATAAGCATTTTTTTTATGATTAAATAGACTAAATTACTATTTCTATATCAAAGTTACATGAAATGAAGGTCAATCAAGTTCCTATAAACTTTGTTTTTCAGCATAGAGCTTAGTATTGGTACAGGGAAAAAAATCTCTAATTTAATAAAATCGTGCACCAATTATTGAACTAAAATGCTCGAGAAAAAAAATGTTAGATATATACGAATAGGGGTGCAATCGAGTCGAGTTGATACAGTGAGAAACTCGAGCTCGAACAATGTTAGATATGTACGAGTAGGGGTGTAATCGAGTCGAGTCGATACAGTGAGAAACTCGAGCTCGAGCTCGACTCCTAACTCGCGGCTTGATATTCGGCTTGAACTCGATCGAATTTTATTTTTCTAGCTCGAGCTCAATTCGTGATCGAAATTGAGCTACTCGAGCTCGCTTGATTAAACTTGATTAATATGTAAAAATAAGCTCAATTCTTATACTCGACAAAAATTTGATTAATATGTAAAAAACTTAATTATTTGTGCTCGAACTCAAATTTAAGATATTTTATTAATTAAAATAATAAAAAATATTTAAATATAAAAGCTCAATTAGGCTCACGAGTTACTTAAATCGGGTATAAGAATACTCGAACTCGGCTCAATCGATGAATCGAGTTACTCGAATTCGACTCGATAATAATCAAATCGAATTCAAATCGAATCCGAATAACTTGCGAATACTAATGTATCGTTTACACATGAAATAAATTCATTTATAAACCAATGTTGAGGAAAAAAGGCATAACATTGCTTTTAAAATTTAGAAAGTTTCAGTCTTTGAAAGATCACGGTGGACTCAAAAATCATATTCGAAACATGTGCAAACGTGAATGCTTTCCGTCAACTTGGAAAAAAAACTGGGCTACCCCAGTTGGTCTTAGGGCTACAATGAGTGGTTGAGTCATTGACATCAAACAATGGACCTGCAGGAAAGACTTAAACCAACCATAACCAAAAAGAAAAATAAAAAACCTCCCTTCTGCTGATTATGACATTAAAAACAAAATAGTTAAATACTCTATCAAAGTGGAAATTGTCAATTGCATTATTACCAAAATCTTTCTTGTCCCAAAGATTTTTTATTTATCAGTTTCAACTCTCAAAGATTAATCCAAATTTCATTAACTATTTTTTTGATATAAATATAAGCTAAAATGGCATATTTAATCCTGTTTTATATATATATACATATATATATATGTTTACCTCTTGATTAATTTGTTTTTCAAATATGGTAATTCGTGTATTATGATCGTATTTTTTATAAAACATATTTAAAATATAAAAATTATAATATTATGATTCATGTTAACATATTAAATATGAAAATATACTTTTAATTTTTATTAAATTTATTTATAATTTTTGTTAAAATTTAATTTTTTTTAATTTAATATTTGTCGAATATGATTAATTGAAATTAGATGTAAGTCCAAAATCATCGAATTAGTAGAACAAAGCAATTATAAAAATGAAAAAGAAACGATGAAAGAGATTGGAATTTCTTTCTTTGCGTTTTCTTTTTCTTTTTCTTGGGTCTTTAATCCAAAAATTTCTTTGGTCTTTAATCAAACCCTAACCCTAAATCGAATTTGAAGAACCAAAATTACGGCAATAAAAACAAGGAGACGAAGAAGAAGAAGAAGAAAGAATTTGAGTTCTGCAAGGTTTGTGAGCTGAACCACAACCAAGGGCCACGTCACAAGTATTTCCCTAACCACAAAAGCTCCCTCTCTGCTTTCCTTTCTCGGTTCCATAACAAGATCAACGACATTCGCTTCTTCTTGAAAAACCCTACCACTCTTCGACCCGAACACGTGGATCGCAACCGATTTTGGTGCGTCTTCTGCGATACTGCTGTCGACGAGCTCGATAGCTCTTTCGCTTGGTAAAGCTTTTAACTTGCAGCGGTTTTATTTTTACAAATTTAAATTTGAGTATAGAACTGATGTGAACAGTGAAATTATGAAGCTCGGCTTAACTTAGTTAAATTATTTGGAATTTACTGCCATTTAAGATTAGTTATATTAGGGGTATTTTAGTGTGGAAAGGGTAAAGTGGAAAATTTTTTCTTAGAATGAGTCAGCTGACAATCAGAGATACTATCGACCGTCAAGCCGATCTGAATTCATGAATTTACGTCAGTTAGGCCGCCTTAGAATGTTAATATGTCACATCTTAAGTGGACAGCCAATGGCCAGCTCAACTCAGGCCCATGAGGTTAGTTCTATTCCCCTAGAGCTGACCACAGACAGGCCAGCCCCAAAACCCCTTAATCCATTTAACTTTTCTGAACATTACATAATATTTCCTTCCTATTTCATTTCTAATTCGATCGCTGACTTTAGCGTTCGAGCACAAATGCTGTGATCATCCCCAGGCTTTATTGTTAAATAATGTCTTTCTTTCTCTTGTGTTTCGGGGTTTTAACCCTCTAGGACAGCTCGGCACAAACAAGTTACTTAGAAAACAAAAGGAAACTTGGAAATTGAAAGTTTGGATTTGATGAGTGAAATTTAGTGGATTTAAAAAAGATTGCGTTGATTCATGGTAGTTTAATTGTGATGGTGTTGTATGACAGTGAGTTTTGTTTCTTTTTAATATCATGTTTTTGGTTCTTTGAGCAGTGAAAATGGTATTAATCACTTGGCGGACGCGCAGCACCTGAAGAATTTGAAGCGTTTTCTCTGGAATATGTTTGTAAAATGGCCCGTTTTGATATGTATAGGATATTGGAAGCTGATCTAACTATGGTATGACCATTAGATTGTTCAAAACAAAGCTTGGAAGATTAATTATGAGTCAAAGTTCAATTTTGGTCATTGTAGTGGGAGAAGAAGTGCAAGTCATTGAAGATTGAAGATTGAAGATTGAAGATTGAAGCTATGGCTGCGCCAGGTGAAGGATATTGTGGAGTTATATGTGGAGCTTCAAATGATATCCACAATAACATCAACTTTGAAAAAATAAATAATCTTAAACAAAATACTATTAACCCTTTCAAATCAAGTTTTTCAAATGTTGTTATGCCTTTACAGTACAATACGAATGAGTATCAGATATCTCATTCACGATTCCCTGAAGTTCTGAAATTTGGTTAGAATTTGCACGAGGTTAACTTATCTTTGCATGCGGGTGCACATTCTGATACTAGTTTGTGGACCTCGAATGATTTGACAGGTAGGCAAATCTGGTCATTTGATATTTTTCTCATTTAATCTAGTTCTAGTTATTTGACTGATATCTCAGTGAAGGTTTGTTATATGAAAAATGAGTATATACCTATGGTGAATGGATAAAGCAGTTCTCAGGGTAAGGTTTTAATTACATTTTGGTTTAAAATAATTGTATTTTCATTCCAAGTCGCTATGAAAGTAAATAAACAGTATGCTAAAAAATTTGCTTATAGTTGTCTGGTAGTAAAGTGGCGGGATACTGCTAATAACGCTAATTTGTATTCGTCATTTTATGGCCATCTTTTTTCTTTAGGTTTGAAGAGCTTAACTCAAGTTGCTTTCGTGTCAACAGTAGATGCTGGAGGAAATGTGCATTCTGGAGCACCCCCTCCCTGGCTTGAAACAGCTGATCTAACTTTGCTAAACAATCATGTGAAACCAGCTTTAAGTAGTTTTATTTTGTCAGATAAGTCACAGAAATCCCGTAAGTTGAACCCAAAAAGGGTGGGAGCTGCTTGGGCTGAAAAGCGAAAAATGGAGCAGGAGAAGGAGAAGAGAGGGGAGATTATCAAGAGGGATTGTGATGCTAACTGGCTTCCAAACTTTGGTAGAGTTTGGCAGTCTGGTAGCAGGAAGGAATCTAGAAAAGAATTTGAGATTGAGAAACAGAAGTTCCTCAAGGTTGAAAATCATTCTGAGATGCCAATTAAGATAAAGCCTTACATCAGTAAACAAATGGTAAGCATCACATCCTCATATACAATGTCATTCTGAAGGCTAGTTTCTCAAGAGGTAGAAGTGGAATGATAAACATATGCCCTATTCCATGCTCTCACCTAAGGCGTCAGCTTGTATGATTGTCATCTGGGTAAAGTGACTTGCCATTATGTATAATAATGCAGGACTTATAATGGCAATTCAAAAGTCAGCCATGCTGGTATTTGAGTTATCTTCTCAGCAATAAAGGGTCTGTTTGTAGAATGTTGTTAGTTTGCTTAAAAGGTGCAACTATTCAACTGCATCTTGAGTAGATTGACTTTAGTTCGAGTATTGGCTAGGAAAGAGGCCTGCCGCTTCTTGGAACGATAAACAGATTTAACTATCTAGCTCTGGCATTAATGGCATTAACTTATAACTTCATACTGCATAAAGTTCAAAGCAGATGTTATATTATGCAATTTACCTTTCCCCCGAATTTTTGGCAAGAGAAAAGATTCTGGCGAATGATGACTAGTGATCATGCAAAGGAAAGACAACTCCAGTGAAGCTGACGCTCAAAGAATCGAGTGGCATTCTTATGTTTTTCCCCTCCCATGGTGAATCTAAAGATTCACAACTACAAATTTTCAAGAAAGGGAAGAATGGGCCATGGACCCATGGTGATTTCAGCCTAAGATAATTTGCAAACTGTTGAGATTCCTTATAAATGTATTACCCGGGGATTCATATACTCTCTCAAAGTTGTGTGCACCGTACAGCATATGAAATAATGTTCTTTTCCTCCACTTTTATCTCACAAAGTGTATGTATAGATGTATTTCTATTCTTTCTGTAGCAATTCGATATGTTGGTGGCACCCAGATTATACATATAATTGGCAACCTTACGAAGGGCCAGTCTGCTTTAATTTGTTATGATATTTCAGGTCATACAAGATATTATGAAGGAAGCCGTTAGCACCAACCAAGTGCATCTATTGTTTCTAAATTTACACGCATATGAACAAAACATGCAACAAGGCAATGGCACTCTTCAATTCTGACTGACCGAGTGCATCTATTGGTTCTTCATTTACACGCATGGCACATGAACAACATATCCAATTCCAGGTAGCCACACTCTGCAATGCTGAAAATTAGTACATCATATGCCTGTTCGAGCCTGAATTTCAGGATAATCATGCAGCAATATATCCTGGATGTGGTAATCTGATAATGGTTATATATATCTTTCCTAATGCGAAATGTGATTGTATCTTATTCACAAATTGGATGCCCGACCTGTAGTAATGATGCCACTGGTTGTTCTATTGCTGCAGAATAAAAGAAGGCTATTAGTCTCTATGAACCGTCTCAGAAGAGCAAAACCTTGTAGAATTTGATTGACCGGAGATCCTAAAATTCCAGAATTTTCCTTTAGCAGAAACCAAGTTCTCTTCACACAGGAATTCCCAAGAAAACCATTTTTCAATTGTGCGATGAACGTCATGTACCACAACATCAGTTGTCTTCCCAGCTCTCGCTAATATGCCAGCAGTGTAGATAGTTGACATCCTGCCTGGTGCTTCTGGTGCGTCCCCAATTGGGCCGTCCACCACCACGACATCCCATTTAAGCTGATACACTTCTTGTGGTAAATTTCTCAATGCCAATTTGCAAGTTGATTGTTGGAGCAGACTTGTGCTAGGGGCGCAAGCAGGATTTCCCCTGGCGTGCTTGAGCAATTTGTATGCCTTCTTAGCTGGTACCTGGTACTTAACCTTATAAATTCGAGTCCCATTAGAATCAGCTTTGGTTTCACTTATCTTGTAAGGGTCATCCTCGAGAAAAAGAGTGATCCCTCCTGCATTTATTGATGAGAGGTTGAGGTACTGAGATTGAAGACCAAAAATAAGGAGGTTACAAGGTGCTTTACGGATAATGAGATTTGAAAGAAGCATGAATTCCTTCGGGGTGAGAAGGCTTGCATTGGCAGAGGTTTTATGTGGTCCGGACTTGATCCCTAGTGCATTTGATGTAACTTTACTACATTCTGAAGGAGATGAACACTCCTGTTGAAGGGACGACAACAAAGCAGCTGCTGGAGATGAAGAATGTGAAGTAGTAATGGCGATTTTAAGAAGTCTGAGAATGGAAAGGCTTGACAGGATGAAAACAAGCGCTGGCAGCAGTTTCTTTCCAGGGAATTTCATCCTTCTAGCTGCTCTGCCAGATTTGGGGCTGGTATCTGAGCCTGCAGTACTAGAGAACTGAACCGAGGGAGTGAGCTGAGGGGCACGGGAATGAGATACTTCAGGAGGCATTTTCTTCCTTGGCTTTTTTCCTTATCCCAGCACCTAGCGGGCACTACTATCACATCCTCCTTACAGGGTAATTGTGGGTTTCTGAAAACAAGGGGGGTTATTATCAATCTTCGTATCATCTTGAGTGAGGAAGAAGAAATGGGTTTTTGCTTTTGTTTCAAGGGTAAACTTTTCCTTTATTGTCATCTGTCAGCACGTCACCCAATTGCTGCGGTTGCCGCTATGTGTTTTAGCAATTAAAGCTACTATTACTATAAAAAATGGAATAATTAAGGTTTGGTGTCTCCATCATTGTGCATAAATCTACTCAATTAGCCTAGGAACGTTTAGGGCATTGTTTGATTTGTTCATCTTTGTATTTAACTACTTTGATCTTGTGTGGTTGGCATGAGTGATGCTGAAGGAGGCTCCTCCAGTTTGTTGCTCCATCACTTTCAATCATTTTTGACCTTCTGATTGGTACAGTTACATATTGCATGTGAAACAGTAAGGTTTTTGGACTTCGGAAGCTAGTTACCGAAGGCCCTCTCATGGTTGAGGTCATATCCAGGTTAAAACAGAAACAAGATCAGGAACAAGAGACCTAGTTTTAAGTTGTCTTTGTTTTGTGTTGTACATGTAAGACAAGAAAATTATTATGTTATAATTTATGTGATGCATCAAACATAAAATATATCTTTTTTTTTTGTTTTCATATATATATTTATATCATATTTTTTTCATATCTAAACTTTTCAATGACTTTGTAGTGAATGGGAAGCCTTTGTTTTCTAGGGGATTGTGATATTCCATTGCTAATCGATCCAATCATTTGTGGTCCAAAACCATAAGCTGTTTGGTTAGTAGGTATATTTGCCCCACTTGAGGGGTGAGATTACCTAAAAGAAAGGGCAAAATCATACATTAGAGGGTAGAAACAAACTAAACCTGATTCCAAACTAGGACTCAAAAGAAAAGATAAATATATATATATATATATATATATATTTGATGAATCATACTGAGATGGAGAGAGAAAAAGAGCCGAAGTATGGATTAAGCCATTGTTAGATTTTAGTCCTTTTCAAGAGGAGCTTCGAGGAAAGTTCAAAGAATGGACATAATTGTTTAAAGACAACATTAATAGACTTAGATTATGCTCTTAATCATACTTTTTATTGGTGCTAGGTGTTTATTTTATGAGAACATTTGTGTATCTGAGCAGTTGCGTTCAACATAAAAATACGTGTTTGAATAGGCTTTTTCTAGCCTGGAACCTTGACATTTCCAACTAATTACTATAGTCAATTGATTTTGAATGCCAATTTGCACATAAAATATGCTTTTATTATTTAGCATTGTCTACTTGTAAGCTCTCACTCAAAGCATCTCCATAAAGAGCATATATATATATATATGTGTGTGTGTGCGCGTGTTTTTTTTTTTTTCTCTACTGATTGCTTAAACAATATTGATTTTACCGAATTGAATGAAATGTTTTTTTGTTACTTCTTGTTAGAAAAAATAAGTAAAAAAAGAGAAATAATAAAAAAGAATTTTAACTTTGAGATGTGAAAAATACTTTCTTAAATGTAATTATGCCTTTAAGATACAACAAAACTTCAAACTTTCCATTCAAAAGCAATGAAAATTGTTATACTAAAAGATTTATTTATAATGAATGAATAGACATAAACTTTTATTCATATAGTTATGACCTTCTGCATAATAATGACTTTTATGAATAATAATCTATTTATATTCAAATAGTTATAACAATTTGTTATATGATAATTGTTTCTGTTCAAATATAATTATTTAAGATATGAATAAAATTAATACAAAAATTAATTTTATTCATCAATAGTTGAATCTTTCAATCCAATGTGGGATGTATAATATTCTAAACTACCAATAATCCCCCACTTGTTTGGAATGTTGATGCTTAATTTTTACCTCATATAAATAAACATTATGAATATAAGAAACCATATCTTGATTTAAATCTTCAATTAACGTATATATCTTAAAATTCCAATGAAGTTGATAGTATCCGAAAATTAAACCTCACCTCTTAATGTTAGAATTAAAGATTTAACACACATAATATTTATTTATTCTTCTGTTTAAGGTTTATAATCGCTTTTAGCACTATTATAGCCATGAGCTTATTTTATTCATAAATATTTATAAGAGAGATCCCAATTCTTCTTGTTGAAGCAGCATCATTTCTATGTTTATATAGGTAGAGTTTTTATTATGTCTCCATTGCTTTAGATATTTAAAACTCCATTAAGAGTATAAAAACTCATCCATCTCACGCAATGGATCACACTAGTTTCTAAAATTTGAATGGATTTTACTAATGTTTAACATATACATAACAATAACTTGTTTTTACCCGTTAAACTTTATAATTAAAGGTTACTAATTCAAAGTTGGGTTCCCATTATCGGTGTCTAAAAGCAAGGGTTTAAATCCATTCTACTTATAGTACTACTAATCAAATATCTTGGAATTCAATTTTCTTTTATGGTAATTACCCTAACTTAAGATTTAATCTCTAATATAATCATTTCAAGCTAATATGTTTGAACTTTTCATTTTGCATATCATTTATATACTTCAAACATTATTACCTCATTCTTATCATTTTAAGAAATAGTTGGTTTTGGTTCTGGTCACAACTCTATACTCATAAATTTCAATCATTTTGTTTCCATACTTTTATACATCTTTAATACAATTATACTTCTAGTATAATTGGATAAATTCAATGAATAAACCAAATCATTTTAGTCCTTTTAAGATTTTTAAGGACTTTTTATGATTTTAGTTTGATAAATGTCTAAACTTATTAGCATGTATAATTTGCTCATAAAATTATACTAAAATCTTACAACACTATGGTGGTAATATTTATTTCTTTTGATTGTTACCAATCCCACCGTGTGCAAGTATGCATTGTTTTATTAGAAAATATCTCATTTAATTATCAAAATATCATATATATTTAATCAAGTGGCCATTTCATTTATCTTTTCATTATTTGGTGATTTTTTTTAAAGTCAGAGGCCTCCAAATTCACCTTTAGTGAAAAATAATTAGTAAATATCTTAATATTTTTATAAAAGTTCCAAAACTTTTATATTTTTAACTCAATATAAAAGTTTACATTAATAAGCATATTGTAAATAGAATCATGCTTATATAATTTCCTTTTTAAGACATTTTATGTTAATTCATAAATACTTATATGAATCTATTTTATCATGGATACTATTCATAATATTTTATTACCATGAACAAAACCATTTTCATCACCCAAATGGACCAAATAGCATTCTTTTTGCTATTATAAAAGTTTTCAAATTCACAAGATCTTTAAATCACTCATGCCTTTCCAAAGTAAATATACTTTGAAATTTTTACTATATAAAATCATAGATGATAAATCATTTGTACAATCCATAAATTAGACCATATACATAACAAAAAATTATCACAACATGATCAAGATTGTGGCATCAATTTTGGCTTATGGCTATTCTAAGCCAATCCACATTATACCTACAAATTATGTAGATTTGGTTATTTAAGTCATCTCATTTATAGTGATGGCTTTTAGTAAAAACCAACTACCTCAAATATTATCATGAGTTGTTTAATGCATATAGTAATTGCCTAATGGCTAAGTCCAAGTTCATGATTATTGAAACCTCTAAACTTGATTTTAAAATTTTATGGGAACTTTATTTCTCCACCATTGTGTAGCTTATATATCTTTGTTATTTACCACCTTTAATTGGTCAAAACATTTTCAGATATATAATAAATTCAAACTTTACTCATAAAACCAATATGCCTATATACAATAAGAGTCTGTAGTATATTTAACTTAAATTTCAAATACTTTCATAATAATTTTGTGATCAATATGTTTATATCTAGATCACCATATCAATGCAAGTCATGAAACATGAATCCAAAGAATCATTTTCATAAAATAATATAAACAATAATTATAATATGAGTTCTACTCATATTTTTTGCAAACACTCATGATGAATTTGTATTGGTTAAATCATTTATTGGCTAACTCTAAGACTTAAGGTTTTCACAAACCAATATTATTATCTAAGCTCATATGTTAATATGATATGTAACCTGCCATATCATTGCCATTGTCACGAAACTATTGAAAACCTCATAAACTTGTTCACTTTTCATTTTAACAACCTACAAAAGGCCATTTTTTTGGGTATAAGAAGCAAAAATACCTTCATTGTCTTTAAGCAATAATGTATTAATTGGATGATGGCATTTTATCTCCATAGTCCATATCTTTCTTATATTTATAAAAAAGAAAATTTCATCCCATTTAGTTCATTTTCATAATATATGGCAAACTGTACCAGTGTTCTCCATGCCATCACAAAATGAAATTAAACATATGTATGTTTTGGTGCCTTTGAAACATTGAATTTGCATGTTCTTTTCTAATTTATAAACATGCATAATTAGATATTGATGAGCATCCTTCAAAATGCTAGTAGTTGATAAATGGTTCAATTTCTTTTAATGGCATACCTTTTTCGTTTAATCAATATCCCATATACGAAGAGCAACAATGCTTTTTTGTAACTATTAATTAACTCTTTGATGGCTTTTTATGATTTTCACTTTGTGATTATTCACAATAACATTTTACTTTGTAAAATCACTTCTAGTGTAATACACCCAGCAAGCAAAATATATGTCACACTATCTATGTTTATGATAATAATTATTATTTGGTTTATTATCCACCAATTAATTCATAAAACATTATATTTGAATAATAATTATTCACGTATATCAATTTAATTTTAATTAATTTTCATGAAAATTAAACACTAGTCAAAATTTGAACCAATAATAAATTTAAAAAATATATATATCAACCTTTGATTTATAAATGATCAACAAAGATAAAATTATGCAAATAGCTTGACTCAACTTATTATTTTAATATTGGTGTCATGATTTAATAATAAAACTAATCTTGTAGGCAAATCTTATTTTCTATATATATTTTTTACTTGCATAAGATTTGTCATGGTAAATTCCTTTACCCATTTTTTATTGTTTTCATAGAAACCTTGAGACAATTTTCCTGTTCTATATATAACAAATACATGACAATTAAACAATCGATCATTCCATTATGGCCTATTTTAATTTGTCACTTGATAATAAGTAATAATTCTTTTGGTTGTAGATCAATTCATATCTTTCTCTTTTATGTTTTTAGGTTGTTTTCCATCTCAGTCTTTATAAGCATCGATTTTTCAAATAAATATAATACAATTCATTAAACCCAATTGTGGAGTCAATTTCAGTATATGCATAAACTTATGCAACGTAATCAATATTTTACATATTGTGTTTTAACTTTACACACTAATAAAATAAATTATTAATGTGTTTATCTTATTCAATCAATTACTTTACCAACGATTATGCAAAAAAATAAAATACATACCTCTAATGAAGATTTTTATGAAAATTAACATTTTGGCCTATAGAAATATTAATCTTTTGACACCTTGAGCCTTCTCTAATATTGTTCTCCAAATCATGCCAATTTATTTTCCTTATATCTTCCTCATGTGAAATATAAATTTTTCATAATTATCTTTAAATTGTTAAAAAAATAAATAAGAGAAGAGAAATAATAGAAAAGAATTTTGGTTTTGAGGCGTGAAGAACACTTTCTTAAATGTAATTATGCCTAGGGGTGTAAATGATACATTAGTATTCGTAAGCTACTTGGATTCGATTTAAATAAAACTCGAATTCAGTTCGATTATTATCGAGTCGAGCTCGAACTCGAGTAACTCGACTTATCAATCGAGCCGAGTTTGAGTATTCTTATACTCGGCTCGAGTAGCTTACGAGCCTAATCGAATTTTTATATTTAAATATATTTTTATTATTTTAATTAATAAAATATATCGAATTCGAGTGCTCGAACACAAATAATCGAACTCTTGTCAAGTATACGAATCGAGCTTATTTTTATATATTAATCGAGTAAACTCGAATAGCTCGATTTCGATCACGAATCGAGTTCAAGCTAGGACAATGAAACTCGATCGAGTTCGAGTTGAGTATTGAGCCCCGAGTTGGGAGTCAAGCTCGAGCTTCTCACTATATCGACTCGACTCGGTTCAATTACACCCTTAATTATACTTTTAAGATATAACAAAACCTCAAACTCTCCAATCAAAAGCAATTAAAATAGTTATACTGAAAGATTTATTTATAATGAATAAACAGACATAAATTTTTATTCAGATGGTTATGACCTTCTATATAATCATGACTTTTATGAATAATAATCTATTTAGATTCAAATAATTATAACCATTTGTCATATGATAATTGTTTTTATTCAAACATAAATATTTAAGATATGAATAAAATTAATACAAAAATTAATTTTATTCATCAATAATTAAATCTTTCTATTTAATGTGAGATGCATCACATTCTAAACTACCAACACTTCTTTTGTCTGAAACAAAATCAAAGAAATACAAAAAATTCTTCATTTTTTATACATTGTTGATAAAATTTTTAAATTTCACAAATAAGATTAAAAAGTTGACAAATATTATAGTCTTGCTAATTTTGCTGGTAATGAATTGGTTTTTCATGTTAAATTTATTTGTGTTTTATTTTGTCCCATGAACATCTTTGTGGGTTTTATTAATTCTCTCTTCTTTGAAATTTGCTCCAAAATATCAACAAGGGCAATTTCTCCATTCCATGGATATAAATGAGCTTTTTTTTATGACTGCTTTGTTTGCTAAGGAACTATCCATTTAAGATGCAGATAGTATGTTTTCCAATTTTCAGAGTGATACCTTACTGTATTGATGATTCGAAGCCAAAAATTTGCAGTCCAAGAATCTCAACTCACCATTTCACATTTCACTGTAATGAATTTTTACAGGCAGACTCCAAGCTTGGTCTCTTCAGCATCAAGATTCCCTTTCAACCAACTTTGTTAGAAGACTAATTCCTCAAATGGTCACTATCCATTCATGAATTTTAAATTCCAAGGTGACGTTTGCTCTATAATTGAATTCATTTCCTGGGTTGTTTTCATTTCGGAAAATCATATGAGATTTCAACTACATTTCAGTCCATCCTTGGGCCGGTTGATTAAGGTAAAAAACTTGAGCCAGAGTCCCAAACTCGACTAATCATAGCACAACACGTGTTAGTATTGAAGAATTTTTAATAAAAAAATAACAATTGAATTAAGTTTCAGGTTCATTATTGCGGTTCTGCAGATAAAAATTTTGGCAACTCTTCTACCTCTGGAGTTTCCCTGTTATCCAGCATTGCTGTTGTCATAGTCGGCATATCTTTATTAATTACAAGTGCTTTTAATTTCTTATCAGCCAAGATTTGGACTTGCAACTGCAACAAGAAATATTCTAGTTTGGCTTGGTATTTTATTCAATCCTACTTTTCTCCTCAATCCAATCTTCCTTCATTGATTGTTTTATTTCCTGGAATTTCCAGGTCTTGTTATTAAAGAGGAGTTTTGGTTTCACTCCTGCTTTTTTGTGTGTTATTCCTTAATCTTTTACAAGTTTTGTTTATTGACCTGAAGACAAATCTTTGAATGCGGAAGAGTGGAGATGAGACAAGTTACTATGGGTTGTAGCAACAAAGACCAGGTGGTTTCACATGCAGGATTTAAGGTAAGTGCTTATGATTCCAGAAGTTATTATCCTTGAAAGTTTCTATAGCAAAAGATTCCATCAAAGATTCTCATTAAAATTTTTGACAACAAATTAGGACATGATGGAAAGTGAAATCAATGAATCCCCTTTTGCATCCATACCGAAACCACCTATACAAAGTAGCAGACCAAGTAGCATGGTTGTTAAGGTAAAATTCCATGTTCAAACTCCATTTTCTGTGTTTGCAAGTTTTTGCAAAATTTCTCTGTTGAACTAAGAATTGATTGTTTCATCTGACAAAAACAGAAAGCACATACTGTGATTCCAGCTCATATTGTTGCTGAGGCTATATCAACACTCCTTGGTCTTGATCTCAGATGGTCAGGACCCATCACACAAACAGAAAGAGAATATGTTGAACAGTATGTATTGGCAAAATACCCAGAGTATGCAGGGCAAGTTGAAATAGAACATATTGACCTCTCTAGTCTTTGTATCAATGAAGAGTCGTGTGAGCCTGCAATTGATGATAAAAAGAAATCACCTAGAAGAGAGTCCTCCACACCTTCCTTTGGAAGCAATCTTCCCGACCTGGACAGGATTCAATTGGAGGCATCGAGACTGCTCGACATCCTCACCAAGAAATCTTCCTTTCCTGGAAGTTTCATTTCAATTCCTGAAATTCAAGCTCGAAACAAAGTTTTGAAGCATTGCGGATTACCAGATAATGACTATCTTGTTCTGTTCACTCCAAACTACAAGGATGCGATGATGCTAGTTGGAGAAAGCTACCCTTTTTTCCGAGGGAACTTCTACATGACCATCATTGGTGAAGAAATGGATTACGTACGAGAGTTTGCCAGTTACAAGGAAGCAAAAGTGATCTTGGCCCGTGAATCTTGGTTGGATTTGAGAATCAAGGGATCACAACTTAGCCAGTACTTCAGGAGGAAGTGTAAGCACAGTCCAAAGGGTTTGTTCTCTTATCCAGCTGATGTAAAGGGGATGCGTTATTCCATGCATTGGATTTCAGAAGCTCACAGGAATTCATGGCACGTTCTGCTTGATGCAACTGCCTTGGTTGTTGGACAGGATCGATTGAACCTTGCACTTCATCGACCCGACTTTGTTCTTTGTAGTCTGGAGAATACGCACGCTGATCAACCATCAAGGATAACTTGCCTTCTGGTCAGGAAGAAATCCTTTGAAACTACAACATCTTCATCTCATGTCACCGAGTGAAAAGTGGGATTAGCTTTTGTGAATACGCTATATGTTTAAATTATTGAACCCAAATTTATGCCAATATATTTTGGAAGTAGGAAACTTCGAACAAATATAATTAGTTACATTTATACAATTGTGGCAAGTTTCTAAAGTTGTTTACAAGGATTCTTAAATCTTAACCTCAGCTGGTTCCTTTAAAGCTGGGGTTTCGTTGCTTCAAGCTACCAATTCGAAAAAAGAAAGCCTTTCAAGCCAACAGAAAAGGAAAAATTACATAAAGAGTTGAGTTTCTTTTTAACTTGGAAATTTGGTATACTTGAAAATTCTATTACTTGGAGAAGGCATGTTTCCACTTTATCAGGTCAAGGTGTATTTTCATACATTAATCAAGTTATTTAGGTGAAAAACTAGAAAAATTCAATGTCCAACGCATTAAAAGCATGGAGTCCAAGTGTCAGAACTAAGGACAATCATCTTTAGGGTAATGAAAAATTCATGGTTTTTTCAAAGTGGACCATGACATTTTTCATGCAAGTCTGGTAGGGTGGAGATGGTTTAAGGTTTAGGCCCATCACTGTTTCAAAAAGCCATGTCAAAAGTCTTCGCTCCCATCCTCCATGTTTTTCAAGTTTACTTGTTTCTGGATTTGCAAGTCACAATCTTCAAGCGATCAATTCAATCAAACAATTCCTCCATTGTTACTCGGTTTCTGGCTTAGCAATTTGTCACCTTTACCTTCATGTTAAATAGTCATAGTGAGCTCCAGCCTTTGGTGAAACTTACTATGGATATTTGGTTTGTGATTTTGGGTTCTGGGCTGGCAAGGCAAAATGATTTTCCATTTGGTTCCTTCAAAGAAATAATTTGAAAGAATGCAAAATAACTGCAGTTTCAAGAGTTAAAAGTGGTAGTAGGGTCAGAAGAATTGCAAATACGATAGGTGCAGAAAAGAAAAACCATTAAGTCAAGGCAAAATTAACCATAATCTATTTCATAAAGCTCAAAGAAATTCCAAGAGAGTTTAAATTCAAGACTACTAGTTCAACTAGTACATTTGAAATGAGAAGGGAGGGGGGATGGCCAAGAGCAGTATTGTAACATTCCTCTTTGATGAGAAGCTGCAAACGAATCAAACTGGACACATCCTACAGAAATTTCTACAAGCCTGCAATTATATATCAAGACCAAATCAACTTTTCCAATTATAGAACAAGAAAACATAAAAACTTTAAACAGATAACCAAGAATGTTAATGTGAAATAAAAAGAGCTAAAAAAACCTTAAGGATATAACATTACACGGAGCAGCTATGCTATCCATTTCAAACTGATGCTTGTATATGCCAAAGGTTTTACTACAACTTATAACAAAATCTAGTTCAACTCTGTCATTCATTCTTTCTTTAACTTCCGTAAAAAACACGATTATTCAAGTAAATGCTGTAAAATGCTATCAAACATTGTTGCTCTATGGTCCATGAATCTCAAAATTTTGAACCACACCACGATGACAAAAACCGTCAAATGCCTAATTAAGTCAAAGCCTAAAACAGTAAAATTAAATTCTCAGATTAAATTTTGTAGCTATACATGAGGGCCAAAAGTGAAGGCTATACAAGGCTCACAGTGTTAACTACTGTTCTAAACTTGGGGGAAAAAAACATCATTTGGATCTCAGAAGCAGTATTCCTATAAATAAATAAAAGTATAGGCACTATGCGGGAAAAGGTCAATTGTAAACTTATTTATCGTACCCAAAGCAGAAACTTATATTTATCTATAGAAACTTAGAAAGGACCAGGTAGTTTTCAGACTCACATAGGATCACTAATCCAGATCAACAGAAAATAAATCCAGATCCAACATAGCATCACTAATCCAGATCAACAAAAAAAAAAAAAAAACGATTGATGAAATTGGAAATGGCCTTCAACCTCAAGTACAACCAAGACTGGAGAAAATGCTAGTTATCAGATGGAATGAAGTTGCTAGTTTTGCGTCCTTATAGAATAAAATACATGGCATTTTCACAAACCAATCAAAGGGTCTAGGAGAATCAGTAAGCCTACTACATCTTTTGAAATTCCAGAACAGTAGATGCCATATCACATAAATCCAATGGATTAGGTTTAACAACCAAACAGAACTCAATTAATGATTCCAGAAAAAGATACTGCTTCAAAAATTGACCATTTTTCGCAGACTGACTAAATTTTATTCTCCATGAACTCAAGAAAAAAGCATCTAATTCAGAGCTCTCCAAATGAAAAGAACCATTTTTCGCAGATTGAATTAAAACATTCAAAATCAGATACAACAAGCATCCAAAAACCGAGTCAAGAAATCATAATTACCTAAGCGGAACCAACGATGATGTTATTGATAGGAATAAAGATGAGCTTAACGAAGAATCCAACGAATCCCATAACTACAAAACCGATCGCTGTACGGAACGCCACCTTCGTGAACTCTGCATACAAAATAATCAACATTCACCAAAAAAATCAGATCTTTACAAAAACCCTTAAATTTTAAACAGATCTATTTTTTTAAAAGGGGAAATGGGGTACCTTTGCGATCGGGCTTGTGGCAGCGCTTGACAAGGCGGACGCTGTCCTTGGCGAAGTCTCTCAAAGGATCGACGACAGAGTCGAGGGCGTCCATTTCTTCTCTCTCACTCAACGAAATCCAAAGAAAAGATTTTCAAGATATATATATATATTGGTATGAGGCGATTCGGAAGGAGTCGCAGCGTAAATGCTACTTTATAAAACGTGGGGGCAGTTTTGTCATTTGGTGGGTTGTAGATGGGAGTCGGAAATTCGGACGAGATCACGAGTCCCTTTTTTAGTCAAATTTGGATGCCAATTTCGGCCATAATGACCAAATTGTCCATAAACTGTAGTACCCATGGGCCGTTTGCCCGACCACAATTTTTGGCGGTTTACACCTTTTACCATATCTGGACCAAATTGGGCTTTATATGAAGGCCCAATAAATATTTTTGGCCCAAGCATAAAAGCTAGGAATGGGACCAACTCATAAATATAATGTAGTAACAAATATTCTCATTGTCCGTAATTTTTTTTAAAAGGTTAAATTATATTGAAAATCCCTATATTTTAAAAAAATTTTAATTTTAATTTTTATACTGTATTTCATTTAAATTTAATTTTTATATTATTTTTATTTGATAATATTAATCTAATCACTAATTAGGTTATTTTTTTATTAAAAATAATGTGATCATTAATTTGATTTGATGACGTCAATATTGACTTTGCAGCCATCAACCTGACCTCATGGCCTAACAAAAACAATGTTTAACTTTCAGGTTCTACTTCAATATCGCGCCAATCAAATCGGTTTTGGTGGAACAGGAGGGGTTTCGGAAGCTAAACCCTAGTGATCAAAAAGCATATGAACAGAAATGATTCTTCAAGCTTGAATCCCATGGGAAATGAATGAGAAAGTCATTCTCCAAAAAAGAAAGGATGAGACTCCATTCATATAAGATAAACATAATCATCCTTTACAACACAACGAGGGGATAAACCCAGAACTGCATATTAGATATGATTAGGTAAGTCATAGCTTCAAGCAATTGTTTCGCTACGCTGAATGAGTTGAGGTCTTGACACGTTTCTAGTAAGTCATCACACTAACAGGTGCATTCATAAATCATAAGCAAACAAAATTCCTAGTAGATCACCCGAGCTCCGCGCATTTGCCTAGCCACCAAGCACCATATCGGACCAATGAATTGCTTAGCTGCATAGAACAACATAAATAACTTTAGACAATGGCTGGTAAGAAACCATGATAAATCAACAGCCAAGAATGCAAAAGAGAAAGAATGATCTAATAAAGCAATCCTGTTTCTTGCAAAAGACAACACAACAATTGATGGTCAAAAAGAAATGTAACATAAAGAGTATAATTTATAACAGCAGAGAAAGGTACTTTAAGAAACCTGGACATAGCATTTTGGATACGCAAGAAGAGAAGAAATCCCTCCAAAATGGCTTAACACTAGAACAATTGCCACTTTAACCATCAGAGGTTGATAATAACAGTAATATATTGACATTTCAAATTGTATCATAGTTATTCAGCTTCTCCTGCCCTAACTTTTCTCTTGTAAGATGTACTCTCAATTTTCGAGCATGGCAACGTGTTTGAAACTAGAGCTGACAACTTAAAACACGATATATGAGCACGATACGAAAATAAGACACAAAGGTGACGCAACTTAAAATTTTAGCAACAACTATATATAAGTTTAACAAAACCAAAAATATATATTTCATATTTTTGTGTCGATACAAATTGTGACATGTAATTTTTGTATAAAACATGATACAAATACATAAATTTTAATATTTTATACAATATAAATACACAAATCATCATGTTTATTTGATACCTTCTATACTGAAATGAAGAAAACAATCACAGCCAAGAAAAGGTGAATGCTTGTTGGCTGGTTTTAGAGTTTGTCCTTGTTAAAATGATTCCTACAGGCCTTTCAAAAAAGACACGTTGCACAGATGAAAAAGAACATTTTGAGATTTTACTTCTCTTTGTTCCAGGTTATGAGTCAAATCATGCTTTGACAGTGCTTTACATTCACACCAACCTCTTGTAAATAATCAGAAGGAAGTCAAGAAAGCAAGCATTTCTTAAAAAGCAAGATGATAATTTAACAACAAAGCAATAATTAAAAGAGATGCCAGACAATATGATATAAAATTTAAGTGCTAGGAATGCAAAAAACCAACCATGCCAATGAGATTAACCACACATATCCTGGTTGCTACATGGTTAAGGAAAAAAAATCTATTGTTAGTTCAAAGGAAGAAACCATGTGACATTGGCCATAATTTTGACAAGAAATGTCCCAACCATCTTGTTCTAAGTAATCTTTCCTTTTATTCTCAAAATTTCTTATGCTACAATCATCTCCTTTACTGTTGTAATTAACATAATTTCTCATTCTAAGCAAGCTCTCTTAGTTCTTTTCTCAAGCTTTTGCATTGAATAAAATAGGTTAAATTATACCAAAGGTTTCTATACTTTATCAAAATTTAAAATTTAATCTCTGTATTGTAATTCATACAAATTTAGTTTTCATACTATTATAATTTGATCATTTTAGTCCAATCACTAACTCTGTCATTTTTTCTGTTAAAAATGTTACATAACTATTAACTTAATGACGTGAGCATTAGTTTTGATGATGTTGGTATTGATTTTACTGACGTAACAACTTGGATTGATGAAATCAGTTATTAAGTTATACAAATAATCCTTGTAATTATACGAAGTTTAAACTCTAGCCTCTCAAGTATAATTTTATAACAATCTCTCGTACAAGTTGAATTTGATAATAATAGTCAAATTATTAATAAAAATAATTTTTTTATCTTTTTAAAATTAGATTTAATTTTGTTAAAAAAATCAATATTTAGAATTTTGTATATTTTTAAAATATTAAATTTAATATGTTTTAAAATCATTTTTTTGAATTTTATAAAATCTGATTTTATATTTTAAAAAATAATTTTTTTAAAATATTTAGAAATTTCTAGATTTTTAAAAATATTAAATTTAAAAGTTTCAATATTTTAATTTTTTAAAATTTCATTTTTTTGAAAGTTTTGTATTGTTATCTTAAAATTTTTTATATTTTTTAACTTTATATTTTTATAAATCTTTTACATTTTTAAAATATTTTGTTTTCATAAAGAGTTTATAATTTTAAAATTATCTACTCACTTTTATATTATTTAGTTAAAAATAAATCGAAATCAGAAGTTTTTCTTGTTTTGCTATTGCTATTTTTACCCTAGTTTTCTATAGTCTTCCACCTTAAAGATACCAAAACAAAACAAATTCTAAAAATCTGTCTTTTTATAATTTATTTATTTAACTATTAAAAATATAGAAAATTCATGAAAAAATATAAAAAATTTTATAAAAATTTCAAAAAATTAAAACATATGATTAAATATTTTGATTAAATAAAATGTAAAAATTTCAAAAAATAAAATAGTTCAAGTAATGAAATTTAGTTTAAAATATTAAAATATTCAAAAAAGTAAATTCTAATATTTTTTAGAAAATTATAAAATTTCTAAAAAAATCAAATTTTAATTTTAAAAAAAAAAAAATATGATTTTTAAAAAATTCAAAAAAATATGTATTTTTTAAATAAAATATTTTTAAAAATTAAATTTAATATTTTAAGAATATGAAAAATTATAAAAAATCAAATTAATGATATTATAAAAAATTAAAATATGATTTTCAAAAAAATAAAAAATATTATTTTTATTAATAATTGAACAAATATTATTAAATTCAACTTGAACAAGGACAAGATTTTTATAAAATTATATTAAATGGACTAAATTTCAAATTTTTTACATGTACATGAATCAATTGCATAATTTAAAAATTAATTTTATTTATCCAAATTGTCACATCAATAAATTAATGTCATATTTGCAAAGTTAACACAACACTCTTGTCATTAGGTTAACAACCACATCAATAAAAACTTAACAAAATTAATGATTAGACTAAAATTATGAAATCAAAAATAATACAAGAGCTAAATTTGTATGAATAAATATGAACTAAATTCAGAATTTTGGTAGAGTACAAAGATCTCTTATGTAATTTGACGGGTAAAAATAATTATGTTTCATGTTATACATCTAACTAAAGTATCTACAGATATATGCCTGCCCAAGTTACTCGTAGCATCCATGTACTACAACGAAATAGAACTGATATCATCATGACAATCACTGCCTAGCATCATATCACTTATTTTAAAACTAAGTTCTTTTCATTCCCAAAGAGAAAAGGTGACAAAAATTTGTAATTTAATCGGTAACCAACTTCAAACCATCAAATGGGATCTTCAACTTGATAATCTTCGATACGATAATATAATATAAATATAATATAAAATAAAAATACGAAAAATGATTTGATTTAAAATTTTATCAATTACTATATATAATTTTAATAACTTAAAAAAATATATTTTATATTTTTATATTAATACGAATTATAACACAAATATGAATATATAAAATTTAATATTTTATACGTTAAAATACATGAATAACCTCGTAACCATCAAACAAAATCCACAGATGTCATTAACCAGCCCATGGCAAGGGAAACACAACGGCTGACCCAGGCATATAGAAAATAGACAGCAGCCATCAAAGACCCACAATGATTATCCTCAACTAGACTAAAAGGAGGTAGCTACTTTAGCCAAAGTTTAAAGCATTGGAAGTACTTCAGTTCGTAGAACCCTATAAAATAGGCTAGAATCTTAAACAAAGCAAGTTAAACATCACTCTTGCAAATGTTCCTTATCCTACAAACTGATAAGAGTTTAAGAAACAAAAAAAACAAAAAAAAACTAAACTTTGGATGGAATCAATAATTAAAAGAGCAAAAAACCACATACCCTTGTCCATCAAGAGTCCCCTGACCACTGCTAGCTCCACTACCATAGGACCCATCATCAGCCCCGGCGGTCTGCCAAACGCTCTGCCAAGCCTGGGAAGGAGGCTGAGCGTAAATACCAGCGGTGGGATCAACGGCAGGCCTCCCAATCATCATCCCACCAGGTCGAGGAGGACCACCAGCAGGCTGACCCATGGGAGGATAAAAGTACGGCACACCACTAGTGGTGGTCCCCACCATCCCACCCAAACCAGCCTCGTCCTTGATCTCGTCCCTGGGCACAATATCCACCAGGAAATCGAAAATGTCGGTCCTGGTAATCGCCGCAGCGATGTCGTTCTTCTGAAGCGTCCGTCGCTTGTTCTCCTCGGCGTGAAGCCAAGAGCGGATGGTAAGTTCCAAAATGAAAAGCTCGCAAGCTTTGGCGAAGAGAATGGGAGCTTCAGCGGATATCATGCGGACATCTTCATCGGCTTTCATGATCTTTTTGATGCGGGCAAGAGGAAGTTGGTGGTTCTTGAAGTCGTTAACTCGCTCGATCTCTTGGCGCTGGTAAGACCAGAACATTTGGAGTTGCTGCTGCTGCTGTTGGAGGAGGTGGTGGAAAGGATGAGGAGGAGTGGCGGTGCCCGTGGTGGTAGTGGTGGAGGAAGTAGTAGGGGTAATAACAGAAGTGGGAGGTTGAGGTGGGTAAGAGGAAGACTGAGCTTGCTGGTTGCTGTCCATTGGTTGAAGAGTGAAGACCAAAGGTGAGCTTTTGGGGGTAAAGAAAATCACAAGCCTTGAATTTTTGTTTTGTTTTTGGTTGGTTGGGATCAGAAGGATAGGGTGGGAGATGGGGATGGTGGTGGTGGATATTTTTGAGCGTCAGAGATTGATGGGATAGCCATTGCAGCTGATTCTTTTTATGTTATTTTTTTCACTGCTTTTTTTACTTTTTTTTTTTTTTTAATAAAAAGATCATCAAATTACTAAGTTTATAAATAGGTATGCAAATTTATGTATTTATATAATATTTATTTTATATAAATATAAAATTATTATGTTATAATTTTATATAAATATTTTAAATATTAAACATACTTTTGGATTTTTAATGAATTTATATATAATTTTTAAAAAATTTAAATCATATTATTTTTATTTTTTTATCATTCTCGTTAAATATATCACATACAATCATTGATTTATAATTAATAAATGACAACTTAAAATTATAAGAGATCTATCAAAATTTTATGTACAATTCACACTTTTAAATGATAAATTCTTACATAATTTTTAAATATAATTAAATAGTTATAGGATTGCAATAAAAAGAGTTGTAAATGATATGCTTCTCATTTTCACATAATATTTAAAATTATCATATTTAATTATAAATTAAATATAAAATATTTTTTTTATATTTATATTTTTATAATTAAATATATTAAAATTTAAAATTTAAAATTATTAAATTCTATCTTTTAAAAATAAATATACTAATTAAGTTTTTAATTTGTTGTTAACATTTATTTATGTTTATAAGAGTGTCTTAAATATATATCTTTTTAGTCAAATAAAGGAATGTGGTGTAAAAGTATGTTTTTTTATTTGTTTTTGTTTTTTTTATGTGAAAAATATAGGTGAAATCAATCGAGTTCGAATCGATATAATATTAAGTTTAAATTTAACCTCGATTCGAAATTTAAAGTTTGAATTCAATTCAGATTCGATTGAGTTTTATTTTTTTTTAGTTTGAACTCGACTCGAGATAAAAATTAAACTACTTAAATTTGTTTAATTAAGTTCGATTAATATACAAAAATAAACTCAATTCTTATATTTAATAAAAATTTGATTATTTGATCTCAAACTTAAATTTGAGATATTTTATTAATTAAAATAATAAAATATATTAAAAAATAAAAATTCAATTACATTCACTAATTACTTGAATTAAGTATAAAAATACTTGAATTTTACTTGATCGATAAATAAAATTACACAAGCTCAAATTCGATTCGATAATAATTAATTTAAATTTAAATTTTATTTAAATTAAATTTAAATAATTTATGAATATTAATATATTATTTATGCCGTTAATGAGGAGAAATAGGACTTGTACTTGTTACTTTCTTCGTGCATTTAAAATCGGTGAATCTTTTAGCTTTTGCCAAGACATAAAGGGCCAATTGCATATAGGAAAGAAATTGAAGTGCATAATTTCAATTTGAGGTTAAATGTTCCTCCAATAGAAGCATAATATTCTAATGCTTGATCTAAAGCTTAGCAAGTTGAACTGTCAAACTTTTTTTTCCCCAAAAAGACAAACCTTCCACTATTCCATCAAACTCAATTCTCCCTTTTTTTTTTGCCTTTTTTATTTTAAAATTTTTTTTAAAATAATTATTTCATCTGAACACACACATATATATATATATCTCTTTTTTATTTAAATAATAGCAGATAAGTTTATTTTTGAAAAAATAAATTATTTTGTTAACAAATATCCATACTAATTTGCACATAATAATATTTTGTCAAGTCTATATAAAAGTGAACAATAGAGGAAAAAGAAAAATTTAAAATAAAATTTCTAAAAAAATTGAAATTCAAAGTGTGTTTTTCACAAGTTTGAAATATATTCTAGGCCAAAAAAAATAGTTTAAATATATAAAAATGATGGAATAATATGTCTCTTTCCTATACTTGGTTTGTCCCTAGTAATATAACATCCACAAGAATGGGATATAAACAACCTTACTACTAAATATTGTTAATTACTTTTGAAATTGATCAATTGTAGTTCAATATTTAAATCTTAAAAATGCACTCCAAATTATATATATTTTTCTATAAAATATAAAATAGTAAATTAGCCAATAGTCAAACATTTTTTTTATCAAAATAATTTAATTAATTTATGTAATCACTTTTAAATATGATATTTAACAGTTTAAAAATTCAAATTCTTAACATTTACGATCTTTTTTCTTGTCGTTAACCTGAAACTTCTTTTATACGAAAAAAAAAAATCCAAATTATGGAAAGTATAAATTATTGAAACAAATGTCTACATCTCATATTCAAATATTATGTTATTTATTACTAATTTATAAAATATCTTTTTGTCACACATTACTTAAACCAAACATCATTCTTAAAACCTTTGTAATCATGTTGAGGTAATGACATGTAAGCATTAGATAATATTTAAACTCTTCATTCCAATGCCATGTCAAAAAAGTAATCATGGTTTTTTTTTTTCTTCAAATTACTAAAAACAATGTTTTTTTTTAATGGCACATCATCAATAAAGATTAGACTTCATCCCTCATCTTATGCTCTTTCCAATTCCTAACATTAATCAATAGTTATGGCAAATGACAGGCAGGCATAGTAGGAGAAACAGCAAGACATTCAAGGAGGAGGGAATCAGGCACAGTTGAATAAAATCAAAATGTAGAAGCTGAAACCTTTTCCAAGTTGCTATGAAATAAAGAGAAATAAAAACATCATTAAGGAGACTGTGGTTTCACAAAGTGAGCAGCTCCTGGAGGGATTTTTGACCAGGTGCAAACAATTGGTCCCTTTCAGAGTGTGTTTTGACCCAAAAAGAAAAACAAAAGCTGTGTTGATCTTCAAGACATTCTTCAGGTTGACAGATATACCTTAACTCAGTTTTGAGGATGACCATATAACTTTGAAGTGAGTTCAGTTGTCCCGCCAGTTTGCAGCTTGCTGAATTCTGTAGTGCTGCATTCGGCTGTCGAGGAGATGAGAGAAAAAAAAAAAAAACTATGAACATTCTAAATTCTTGAATTTTCACTGTTTCACTCCACATTCTTTCCTGCTAGAGAAAAAACTGCAAAAACTTTATTTCCAGTTTAACAAATCCCTAATCACCAAAATGTTCCCCTAGCTTTCCTGTTTTCTTCGTTGTCGTCTACCATAAACAAGCATCCCAGATTTCTTATTTTCCTCTTCTACCTTAATCTCTTCTTCAGTGACAGTTTTTCCAACACCTTCTACACTAATGAGTGATTTCATTTCTAGGCCATCCTCCAGCAACCCTTTTTCATTTGCTTTTTTTAAATCCACCAACAAGGTTTCTTCCTTAGCTCTTTCAGTGATCACCTCCATTTCTTTCACCTGAGCTTCAGTTAATACCTGGAGAAGTTCCAAAGGAGTAGCCGCAGGATCAAGCTCCAAGCAACCGTTAGGAGCATTTTGACCTTCTTGACCTGTGAGCAAATAAGAAGGGACCTGATGAGAGAACCGAAACAACTCTTCTCTTGGAATCACCCAGGCTTTACTTGGTTTGGAATGCTTCCAAAACACTGTCTTGAAGCCAGGCACCTTAACAAGTGGAGCAACAGAAACACCTTTTTGCTCATTGTAATCTTCAAGCACCTCAACCATGTCATATTTGTGTATCATTTCATCAGGTGTAAGCTCATTCCAATCAGAGGACCAGTTCCTATAGAGAGCCCAAACATCTCCCTTTCTAGGATATATTTGAATTGCTCCTTTTCTGCCTTTTGACCACTTCACCTTATGTGAGAAAGAGTTAAGAGACCTATTAACTACATATTTGCCGACCCAGAAATCTCCACTAGTTTTGTAAAAGCCAGAACCAATCCATTTTAATGGAGCCAGTTCCACATTGCTTTTAGAATTAAGCCAACTCATCCGCATTTTGAATGGTTTTAATGATATTACACCATGAATCATTGCATAATAACGGGGCATCCCATCATCATCATCATAAGCAGCCCAAACCTGGTTCTCACCGAATGACTTTTCTGTGCGATCCTGGTCAAAATCATGAAAATCTGGATCTGGAACGCTCATGGACATTGGATCAGGTTCCTTTATAGCAGGATCAACATCAGAATCAACAGTGCAAGACCTTTTGGGATGAATGCTAGACTTGATATCAACAAACGCCATGGATTTGTGTGCATCAGGTTTCATACTTAGAGCATCTTTTCCATTTTCTTCATCCTTCTCACCAATCACTTCATCAAAAGCTTTTGGTTTATTTGAAGCATTAAATAGAGAATCTGGGTTCCATGAATTTATCTTCATGCGGATTTCTTTCTTAGCCATCTCTATCAAAATATTCCGAATTCCCAGCTGTGAAGGCTCCTTTATGCCATTAGTTCTAATGATTCCAGCAATATTCATCCTTCTTGTTTCAAGACCACTCTTCTGAAAACTAGAAAGGCTAACCCCTTCATTTCCCATGGCCATGTGATTTCCCATCTCTGTTTCATCAATGTGCCTCTTCTTAGGTCTGTGTTTTTTTGCTGCAAAACTGGAAAAAGAACCTGAGGCCCCAGGAACTAAACCGGCATCTGTTTTCTGAGAAGGATGAAATTTCATTCGCTGGCTTTCCTCTCTCATGGTACCTGTCTGTGACTCTTTGTTCCCACTCTTTAATGTTCCACCAGGTGAATGAGTAACACCAGCAGCTTGAGCAGTGAAAGAAGCTGGTGGAGCCATATTTATGTTACTTCCTGATCTAGGGAATGCCCCTTTCTGAGAAAATTTTGTAGATGAACCCAGACCAGAAAACCTCCCCTGTCCTGTATTATGAACCTGACGAAACTTCTGTTGCTGCACGAAGTCAGACAATGGAGAATACTTACTGCTGCCATTTATAGGTGGGACTGGCGTCTCAACAGCTAAAAAGCGTGTGCGACAGTTGATACAAGGAAGATTGAAGTTGACATAAACTCTAGAGTACTCAAAATGCATCTTACAGGAATTGCAGGTTGTCCAAAATGTGCCATTTCTAGCCGAGTGAGGAGGAGCAGGTTTGGAATAAGTAGCATTGTTCTGATCATTGATGTTTGAAATATTCTTATTGGAGAAATTATGGAAACCATTACTACTGGTTGTTGCCGATGATGATGATTTCCCATGTAAAACATTTGTATAACTGCCCCTTAAGTTCCGCTTCTGGTCATAAGCAATTCTCCTAGCTTTATCAGACAACAAATTCCAAGCTTCAGATAGAATTTTGAAAGCCCCGTCTGCACCTACAGATTTATTTTTGTCAGGATGAAGAATGAGAGCCAGCTTCCTGTAATGTTTCCGAATTGTGTCCTCATTGGCATATGGTTGAACACCAAGCACCCTGTACCAGTCGACTTCTCCATTGATCTTTTTATCTGCAGATATGTACACATCAAGAGTTGCAAGCAACTGAGAAAGACCATCAAGCTCAGGATACAAGTTTTGAGCCTTTAAAGCAAATTTTTTGGCCCCAACAACATCCATCTCAGAAAGTTTTTTCTCAGAAAGCTCTTTCGCTCTGATGGCCTCATCTTTGTTACAATCCATTTTAGTTATGCTAGACTCTCTGCCTGCATCTAACCGCTTGCTTCCTTCTTCAGTTCATTATCTGAATTTGTCAGCCAACACAATATCAGAAAAGATTCTAGCATTAAAAAAATCTAAATCTCTATCCAAAATTCAAGATTTTCCCATGCATAAGAAGACTGCAATTACTTGTGCAAGACACCGAGTGGTTGTTGAACCCAATATAAGGAAACTTCTTCAGCAAAAATGGAAAAGAATGACACGAAGTTTTGCCGGTTTGTAACTCAAGCAATTCGTACAAACAAAAAACAATAAGGAATGCTTCTTGAGATTAATCAAACTCCATATATTCAAAAAACTCTTAAATGGGACTCGAGTGACTGACATAAAAAAATGCACGGGAAGTTCAATCCTTCCAAACTCAACAAACTTGAGCACAACAGATTTGAAAACATTATAATGCATAAAATGTGATCAAAATGTGGTTTCAATGCAAATAGTAAATACAAACAAAAAGCAATAATGAGATTAATCAAATTCCAAATATTCCGAAAACGCTTTATCTGGGAATCTATTAACTAAAATAATGAAAAATGCATAGGAAAGTCGTACATTTAAGACTCAATGAAGTGGACTATCGAGCTCCCAAAAAAAGCATACACCAGATTTGGAAACAGACAAACTGCAGAAAATTCCTTGATCTGAGAATCTATAAACTGAAAAAGGAAAAAAGCATGGGAAAGCCATTAATTTAAAATGCAATGAACTTGAGTACCAAAGCTTCAAAATAACCAAACAGATTGGAACCAACACACTGCATAACTGAAATAACGAATAACGCGTGGGAAGGTCATTCATTAAAAACTAACAGAACTAGAGTACCGAACTTTCAAAATAAGCAAAATGCAATGAACTTGAGTACCAAACTTTCAAAATAACCAAAACAGATTGGAACCAACACACTGCATAACTGAAATAAGGAATAATGCGCGGGAAGGTCATTCATTAAAAACTAACGGAACTACAGTACTGAACTTTCAAAATAAGCAAAATATATTTGGAAACAACACATTGCAGAAAATGTCATTATCTGAGAATTTATTAATTGAAATAAGAAAAAATGCACGAACTCAAGTACTGAGCTTTCAAAATAATCATAACGGATTTCAAAACAACAAACTGTAGACTGCAGAGAGTGTGATCACAATGCCATATGGTTACAGAGAACATCACAATAAATGAAAAGAAAAACTTGGAATCTATCATGTTACAAATTCAAATGGCTATTGCAGAGTCATTTTCTTCATTTTATCCCTCCAAAATTTTCTTCAACAAACAAACTGATCATAATTGAATTCTCAATTACTATTACATTTCAGCCTTTCACCAAACAACCTAAAACCAAAATTGAATGAATAAATACAAATTAAATAGAAATCCAAAAAATCAAATAAAAAAAAACAGTTCACCGATTAACTTGAATTTTGCCTAAAAACAAAGAAACCGACAATTCAACAGAGTATTTGAGATTGCCAAAAACTTCAACAAATGGTTACACATTTTACATTCAAACTTGCCTTATTTCAGCAATTATTATTCTGATTAAACCCCAAAAAAAGGTTTTCCCAGAAGTTCACAATCAATGCCGGGAAAACCCATTCTTTTTCCTATAAGAATTGCATGCAAAGCAAAACAAAAAAAATATAAAACAATGCAAAGAAAATAAAAAAGCTGAAACGAAAATTACCCATTTCCAGATAATTCAATCTCAGAGAGGTTATTGAAGAATTCCCAGTTGAATTTTGATTTTTGCCAATTTTTTACCTGAAAGATTAAATCAATAAATAAATTCCCAAAGCCTGAATTTTGAGAATTCTTATTATGATAATAATACTATTTATTTAATGGGTACATGACAAAAAAAAGTTTTTTTTCTATTTATTTATATAGGCATAAACCTAACCATTTTGTATATGGTAAAACCCTAACTACGGTCTCTGATTAATGGATACATTGCCAGTTGGCTAAAAAGAGCAGGTAAATTTAAATAGGAATTATTCTCGTTTAATAAAAGAGAAATTATCTCTTTTTGTAAAGTTTTTAAAATCCACAAACAGAGTTTTTATTAGTTTTTACATTAGTTGGTTAAATAAAAAGTAAGTTTGATAATTCATGTATTATAATTATATAAAATAATAATAATTTATATATTTATATTATATTTTATACGAAAATTATATGTTATCGTTTGTGACGACATGAAACATAAAATATATTAATTTAATTTTATTAATTACATATATGATTTTTAATAAAATTTTAAATTATGTCATATTAATATTTTTTATTTATATTGTTTTCGTATTGTATCATCATTTTATTTTTTAAGTTATTAAGTCTAATAAAAAGTGTTGTGTTTTTTTTTTTTTTTTGGTGTTTTAATTGGTAAGATGAAAAGGTATAGAAGCAAATTAATTGAAAATTTCCAAATTAAGATCCTTATTATCATTTTCATGTGTCTAGTCAAAATCACAGAATTGTTCAATGAAAGTTTTTCTTCCTTCATTCATATCAGATTTTCTTTGGTAACAAGCCATATAAATGTTCTATCTAGAGAACAAAACAGGGCAATGCTGTATTATAATTGAGCTTCTTCATGAATTGAATGGTTAAAGCTAGCACTGATTTTCATGACCATTTATAATCTTCCCTTGTCTGACAGAATTCCTTGGATTATGATTTTTGAAAGAAGAATCCAATACAGGGGAAGTGAAATCACATTTGCATTTGTTGGCAAAAATGTTTGCAGCTGCCTAATTTTGGCTTTGGTTGCCATGAATGGAGGGTGCAGAACAGAATGAACTAAGCACATGCTCTTCCAACTGTATCTTATCCATAGAAGGTTGCCTTTTCTCGCATAAAAGAGTCTGTAGCCTGAGAAAAGAAGGGGCTTTAGGTGCTGAGATTTGAACTCTGAATCTGTTAGATGTCACCTCTTAAAGTAGCTACATGAACCAACTAAGCTAAGTTCTGGGTTCATATATGCAATCCTTTGCTTTTGCTGCTAATTGGATGAAAAAAGCAACTAATATGGCATGCTTAATTAAGCTGTCTGCCTAGCTGTTAGATCTTTAGATCAGACAATGGCTGTATAATACCATAGGTTTTGCATTTTCTGTCATTGAAATGGGATTTTTTTTGTGAGTTCATTATCAGTGCAAAACAAACTGGTTTTTTAAGTGCTTCTCATCAGGCAGGACTCAGGTGACATGAAATTTTGCTTCTCGGTCATAAAGAAAAGGGAGTGTTCAACCATGATCTGCCTTTCTATTCTCAGTTTAATCCGAGGGTCTGGAATTTTATGCTTACTAAGTTCACAACATTAATTGCATATTTGTTTTACTGATGTCTTCTTTTCCAATGCAATCTGATGAGAAATATTGGCCAAATGCCTCCCCTTTTCAACATATTTAGTATGGTTATTATGAATTTCTGGTTTCACATATATCTCAAGCAATCCATTCTTCATGGAAGACATAGGTTACCCTTTACAAAGAGCAGAATTTTATTGCAGAATAGCTTTAAGTACTGAAAGTACGCAGCTTAATTCATTCTATTCTGGCTATAGGATTCTCTCATATATTAATAAGAGCTATATGAAAAAGCAAGAAGCACTGAGGGCACACAGCTTAAAGTAGCTATGGAGAATCCTTTGTTTTAGTCTTGTTGAATAGGAGGATAATAGGCAAGGACTCTCATAGTGATCAAGTCTCTTGTTTCACCTTAGAGCTACAGATGCTACAAGAATAAGGGTCTCCTACTCCCTGAACACCTTTTTCGAGGATGCTTTTCCTTTGAGGGTCGTTATCCTCTCTGCTTCAACTCCTGGATACCTTAAAGCAAACTGTTTTAGGATACAATGAATTGGCTGGCAATTAGATGCGACAACCATAGCTTACATCTTGAGAACAATGCCAGAACATTTTCACTCTTAGTCCTATACATTTTACGTCAAAAAAGGCAGCAGCATGAGAGTTCATTTCAGGTCTTTCCTTTCTTCATAGCCGATACTCTCACTTGATTTTCTAATGTGCATTCGCTTGGAAAGGACACCTTTAGCTTGAGCAGCAGATGCAAACACACAGATAATACCTCTAGTACACTAAAACTAAAAGTGGCTTAAAATTTTTTATTTAATATGACATTAATTGGCTGAGCAGACCCCGGTTATGGTCCACAGGTGAATGAAATAAACTGCAATCCTTGACCAAAACCCCGGATCCTCGTTTAAGAATCAACAAACAGATGATAACTTTCTCAAATAACTATGCTTTTGATATAAATATATATATAAATATTCAGAATTAAAATAACTTTGCAGACCTCGTTTTGAAAACCTTATAAATGTCTCTGGTTGCTTGTTTGCAGCTTTCCAAAAGTAAATGTTTGTCCACTTTTCTTCCCTCTGCAATGGTAATCTGTAGTGGCTCCTTGCAACTCAAGTGTGGGACTTTCCATAGAGTTGGGCATAGACACTTCTAGTCCGATAAACAACAATCAAGCTTAACACCATTGCAACAATACAAAATCCTGACATCAACGCGCAAGTGAGAGAGTAACATATGGAACCCTCACAGGTTAATGAATCATCATCCTGAAGAGGAATAGAGATTGTAGGTCCTGAAATTGGCTGTCTAAGGCTAGCTTGTTTCTCTGCATAATAGTCATATATGCCACTAGCAATGGCACCAGAAAATATTAGAGAGCCAGCAGGACTTGCCAGTGTGAGAAAATTATACAAGGCACCAAATGACTTCAATCCAAATAGCTCAGAAGCTGCAGCTGGTACAATAGCCCAGTGGGCACCGTAACCAAGTCCTGTTAGCACAGTCGTAACATATATTTGCCCAGGCCCTCCAAGAGCATAATAGAGGAGTCCAAATGCCATTATAACCTGCACAATAGACATGGCCACTGGTCTGGGGAAAGCATATTTCCTGGTAAAATATAAAACATGAAAACATGGATTAGCATATCGTTTGCTAGTATCAGCTGAAGGAAAATTACTGAAGATGAACTGTAAATTGTTGTCACCTGATAATAATCTCAGAAAAGTATCCACCACCAACGCGACCAAGAAAGTTAAAAATGCTAACCATGGATACAAATATACTTGTATTGCTGTATCCCAAAGACTGACAAATTTGACCCAGGTTATCGATAACTGTCAAACCAGATCCAGCAGCCAGTACAAGGGAAACGAACATTAGCCAAAAATCTGCTTTTATGAGTGCTTGTACTAAGGTGAAATCCTCTCCTCTACGTGGCCCTTTTCTCCTCTTGACCCGCACTGCTCCTTCTGCAGCTGCTTGGAACAGTTTTGCTTGCAACTGTGCAATTCGTTTTTGTCTTTCTGATGCAGGAAGATTGTCCACTTCTGGAGGCTTCTCATCTTCAACCTCACTCAGAATGATCTCATCCGCATCCTGCTTAGAACTACCTGCTTCTTGTTTCTCTGGCTTAGGGAGAAGATTCTCCACTACCGGAGGGCTTGGTTCAGAAGCAAAAACCAATAAAATAGGAATTATAATTGGAGACAATATAAGAATGATTAAAAGCACTCCAAGCAATGTGACTACAGTTTGATTTATGCCAACAATATCCTCTAGCACCAATACTCCCAACAAATAAGCTGCCAAAATAATGCAAACACTATATGTAAAAAGGAAGCTTGAACCATCAGAAGGCCTAACTTGTCTGTGTCCCCCAACAGGTCTAACAATGAACATCAAAGCTATAACAACTATTGATGGCCCAACTGCAACCATGAAGATGAGTGCTGATTCATTAGGGAAATTAATCATTACATAAACTTGGGTCAGAATTGCACCACTTAATCCAGCAAATCCTTTAAGTATACCCACAACAGGACCCCGGCTTCTAGGAAAGTTCTGCACGCATGAAACTAGAGTGGCTGTGTTGTAGTATGTCTCACCATTTGTTCCCACAAATATAGCAACGCACAGCTGCATACCAAAACTTGATTAACGTTTTCAACTTGGAAACAACCAAAGAATATCCACAGCTTTTGAACTAATGTACAAAAAGAGGATGTATTTCCTCAATTTACGTGACAAGTACAACGAATAAAGAACCAGATTCATTTTAAAAACTATAATCTGAGATTATGGTGCTTGACTAGGCTCTCCTGAAACACAGTATAATAAAGAAACATATCCTCAGCCGCGATTTTCTCCACCAAAAAAAATAACAACTCTTGGATAAACTTCTAATTTATACCTAACTTTCCCAAACTCAAGCCTACATGCTAGAAAGATTAAGCCTCAGTTAAAACCTGATAGACCTTTTAATCGTATGTCTTAAATTAGTGTGTGGAGAAAACTAGGAAATGACTACAAAACATCCTCATAAAAAAGCCTATTCATTCTCCAACATCTTTTTCTCAATAAGTTTTTGGCCATCATTGATACTGAGACACCAAGAACATAAACAAGTAAGAGATTAATGGAGTAGCAGTGTCTGTTCCATAATATTTTAAAACTAATGTAGGATACTTCAAAGCCTTTCTGTTAAATAGAAATATGATGAAGAGAAAGACTCAATGTTAAAGATCGGAATCAGAACAGAAATTTAGGAACATGTTAATAAAAACAAAGATTCATGAGTGCATTCAGACAATCAGATATATAATCTGCTACCTGTTTGTTGAAGAATTGAATGTAAACAGTAATTCAAAGAAACAGTTGATTCTGGTATGCTTAGTACTAGAAATTTTCACAACATTGACTATCAACTTTTGTGAAATTTCAGAAGATTTCTTGACAGAAAACCTTAATATTGTTGGTGATCCTTCTGTCAGGTGGAGTACCCATTAATCTTTGTGATAAAATGCTGATTCGGGGGAAAAAGTTTCTCAATTAATCAAACAATCAGATTTTATACCAACCACACAAAATTCCAACCTAAACCACAAAATATCACCTTTTTGCAGCAACTAGATTATCATCACCAATCCATTAACATAAAATTAAGACTGATATCAATAGATTTTCTTATTCTTAAAACCCAGAAAAATGAATCCAAAATTGCCTCTCAACCCAAGAAAGAAAAGTCAAACTTGTTTCATATCACACTGCAAACCAAACTTTTTTCATCAACAATCAAAGACAAAGTGAAAAGTGAATAAAACTCACCACCCAGAGAGGTAGATCAGGCAGTATATTAGCTATAACAAGCCCAATCAGACCATAGCCAACAAAATTCTGGACCACCCCAATGAGCAAAATCACCCAAATAGGCAAGATCTCACACAAACTCCCAGCTATAAAGCCAATACTATCACCCAAGTCTTTAGCCACACCCAAGATAGCTATCTGCCTCTGGTTGTAATCCATGGCACTTTTTATCACAGGTGAAATGCTTCCAAACAAGTAGCCAACCCCAGCACATGACTGAACCCACATTGAACACACAAAAACTAGCCATCTGTTGTTGACAAAAGCCTTGAGTTTTTCAGGTAACTGTTCCATAACCTCTCCCTCTCTGCAGCAAAGCAAAAGGACTCGATATCCAAAGATAGTTTTGACAAGGTGATCAATGATGGAGTCTTTGTTCAGACAAAGCTTGATGTTGAATGGTTTGCCACTTATGTTATCAACAATCTATGGTAGCTATAGAATTACGAAACAGGACAGGATCTGACCAACGGCCTTTATAACTGTACTCTCCCTGTCTTTTGGTATTTTCTCGTTTACCATATCAGTTTGTTTCACCATTTCTGCCTTTAATTTTTTTTTTTCACGTTTTAGAAATTATTTTTTATTTTAGAAATTAAAACCTAAAATCATGATATGGGATTTGGATTTTTCATTGAAAACACTTTAAATTTTCATTAAAATCACTGGTAACAATTAATAAATACTCATAGGTATCATCGTTAGTTTATTAAATTTATGATTTTTTAATACAAAAAAATAGAAACTTAAGAAAGAAAAATACTTAGAGGTATTAAGTTTTTTTTTTTTTTTGGATCCAACGGAGGACAAAGCTCTTGTAAGGATAGTAGAGATGGCAGACTGATTTAAGAGGTAAAAAATTTGAAATTTGAATCTTTATTGAATTTTTTTGTTTAAAGAATAACGGCCAACTTCATTAATCTAGAATTCATTAAATTCTGATAATACATTCTTAGTAGAATTTGGGAATATATTTTTATTTTTTATTTTTTGCATGAAAGGGAAACAAATAATGTAGCCAGCTAATATTAGGATAATTATGGTTGAATATGTCAATGATAAGGTATATGGTTGTTTTTTTTTTTGGTAAGAAAAATTTGATGATAAATAGATTGTTCAGTCTCTCATATCAAGATAAGATATATCATTTAAGAATATTTTTTTATTTTTTATTTTTTGCATGAAAAGGAAGCAAATAATATAGCCAGCTAATATTAGGACAATTATGGTTGAATATGTCAATGATAAGACATATGGTTGTTTTTTTTTTTTGTAAGAAAAATCTAAGGGTAGATAGATTATTCAGTCTCTCAGGTCAGGATAAGATGTATCATATCTAATAATTTATTTTTTTGGTAAGAAAAATTTGGGGATAGATAGGTTGCTTAGTCTGGAGATAGATAAGTTGCTCAGTCTCTCAGGTCATGATAAGATGTGTCATACCTAATAACTTAAGACAGATAATTACAAGTCATACATTCGAGATAATTTCAACAAATGATCACCGGTAAAATTCGAACTTAAAACATCTTCGTCGAAAGAAATTACCTTAATCGATTGAATCAACCATTTATTAATATATGATTGTTAAATAAACAGATGGGATACAATTCCAAATTGGTTTTGTAATTAGATAAGCATTGAAAAGTAGACAAACAAATTTTGTTGAAATTTATAAAATGAGTGTTGATACAAAAGTATTTTGACCCTACTTAAACAAATACATTTTTGGTTGAGTGTCTTAGTCTTCTGGATAAATTTTGTTGAAATTTATAAAATAAGTGTCAATATAAAAGTATTTTTGACCTTACTTGAGCAAATATATTTTGGGATTGAGTATTTTAAATTTTTATATATGTGTAATATTCGATGATTTAAAATAAGTGATTATAAGTCGTATATTCGATATAATTCTAATAAACAATCAACAATAAAATTTGAATTCAAAACTTTTTTATCGAAAAAAATAAATTTTAATTAATTAAATCAATTACTTATTGATAATACCTATTAATATCAACATATACTCTTTTTATCTCACTTTATTTTTTATTTGATTAATGTTAAATTAAAATTGAAAAAAATTAAAAATTTTGAAACTTAAATATGGAAATTTTCTCTTTAAAAAAATTAATTTTATAATTTATTTAAAATAATAGTCTTTATTAAATTAGTTTGGTAAAAAAAAAATCGTTTTGAATATGTAATGAAAGAGACTCACGTCACATGTGGTAAAATGATGTCCATCAAAGCAGCGTTCACAAAGTGACAAAGAGGCAAAATGTCAATAAGTAACAATCATTTTAATGCAAAAAAAGTATAATAATTGAAAACGTGTGTTATTTCTTTACTTTTTTTTGGTTTTGGTTTAAAATGTCCTTTTCTAACTGTTTATCGTGGAAACATTAATAATTGAAGTCGGCAGTGGCCTTCTAGTTTCAAGGACTGAGTGGCATTTTAAGTTCGTACGTTACCGGTCAACGTAAAAAAAATAATAATAATAACAAATCTGAAAATTAATTTAAAATTATAATATTCAATTTGATTTAATTAAATTTTTTTGTTTTATTTAAATTAAATTAAGATATTAAATATATATATATATTAAATTTTATTAAATTTTAAATTAAAAAGTAAAAAACCGAAAAAAATTAATTGAACTAAATTATATATTTATATTTAAATTTTTATATAAATAAAATAATAATTTTATATCAAAATTTATTTAAATATATTAAAATAATATTTAAAATTTTAAAAAAATTCATAAATCAAATCAAACTAAATCAATAAAATTTAATTCAATATGAATCGATTTGATTTTGATCGAATAAAGGTTCGGTTTACATTTGGATTGAATTTTAAATTTTTATAATACTATATAATATTCAAAAAAATTAAATCGAATCTAACTCAAATCGAATTATTATCACCCCTAATTAATAGCATTTTTGCTTTATCAAAACCTTGTTAAAATATAATATTTAAATTTAAAATTTATTCTTTTCATCTCAAATTATTTGAATGATATTGATTTTTACAAAATTAAATTTTTTTTATTTTAATGTATTTAATATTAAAATTAAAACTTTTTATAAAATTAAATTTTCATAATTTTTAATATAAAAAATTTTAATAATTTTTAAAAAAAAAAAGAGAGAAAGAATATAATTTTTTTTTAATCGTCAGACTACACATAATCTCATGGACGCAATAGAAATTCCATCAACTTTCTTCATTTTTAGTGTTCTGCTCTTCGTTTAATGTATCATTCCTTCCACTATGGTTTTTCTGTTTTGGTATTGACTGTGAAACCCATATGTCAAAGAGATTCTTGATAATCTTAAATTATATAAATATATATATATATATATATATCATCTAATGTCTCTTTTTAGGCCAACAACATGAATACATGTGCAAGTGAAAATTTATAGCTAATTTCCTAATACTAAGTTGGCTAATTTGATCAAAATTTCTTTTCTTCCAATTCTTCATCCGACTGTGTATGTTTAAATTTAGATATGATAATTTATATATTTATATAAAAATTATGTATCATAATTTATATTAATATAAAAATATAAAATATATTTTTTTATTTTTTAAAAATTATATATAAATTTTTATATTATTTTTATATCGTATCATTATATTATTATATATTAAATTTCTCTGATCTAACTGCTTAATATAAGAAAATACTAGGGAATTTTCAAACTTGTTACCAATATTCTAATAACCAACTCGATGAATTATTAAAAGAGGAAAAGTATGACTAGATTTTGATTGAAGACTTTGTTATAAAATCTTGGGGACGATGAAACGTTGTTAACAAGTAATGTACGTGTTTGCAATTTGATAACTTTGCAGTTGATGACTGTTTCGGTTGGAACTTTGAAACATAAGACAATGACTCGGATACCATTCTAATTAGTTTACCAATTATTCAAGAAGTCATGAAAAACACCGAGTCATCAATGAA